GTTATATATCCAGCATAAGGTTAGCTTTGTAAGAAATGGCCTAAGTATTTTCCAAAGTAATTGCATACTTTTACATTCCTTCCTACAATGTATGAGCATTTAGTTACTTTGTATCTTCACTAACACTTAGTATTGTCAACCTTTTTTATTTTAGCCTTTCTTGCGGATGTGGTGATATCTCAATATGGTTTTAACCACCATATCTATGGGGACCAGATTTTATCGACTTTTAAAAATCATTTGTCCATTTTCAATTTCATTGATTTCTGCTCCAGTCTGTATGATTTTCTCCCTTCTACTTACTTTGGACTTTCTGTTTTGTTTTTTGTTTTGATAGCTTCTTAACGTCTCCACTGAATGTCTGGGATGGGAACCCTCAGCTCCCCACGTTAGCTGGTCTGAGAGCTCAAATGCCGCTTTGCATTGTGCGAGGTCTAGGCGTAGCTGGGATTGCAGTACCCCTATTGCTGATCACTTGGCCTCGCAGAGTTTCACTGGATGTGAGTTGACCTAGGGCTCAGCCAAGACTTGAGGGACCCCCTCTGCTGACTTCTAGAGTCTTCTTCAACCAGCTCCCTCCTCCTTAGACTTCTACCTTGCAATATCCGGCTGCCTTTGCCTCCCTAAACTTCATCTTTGCCAGGCTCTGCCCAGGACCCCCTCTTTGCACCTGCCATCCGGTTAGTCCCAGGCAGATAGCGGGCAATCACAGCAGTCTCTTTATTTCCTTTCTTTCCAGGATTTCACACCTCTCCTATCTGATGTCTGATATCTGAAAAATAGTAGTTTCTTTTTTTTTTAATATTTTTATTTATTTCTAGGAGAGAGAGAGAGACAGCATGAGCAGGGGAGGGTCAGAGAGAGAGGGAGTCACAGACTGAAACAGGCTCCAGGCTCTGAGCTGGCAGTCAGCACAGAGCCCGACGTGGGGCTCAAACCCACGAACCGCAAGATCATGACCTAAGCGAAAGTCGGACGCTTAACCAACTAAGCCACCCAGGCGCCCTGAAAAATAGTAGTTTCTTATATTTTGCACAATTTTCTAGTTTTTGGTGAGAAGAAATGACCAATCCTTGTTTTTCCATGCTGACCAGATGCAAAACTTCCTTCACTATAGATCCTCAGGTTTTCTCCTGTCCACCTGCTTTTCCGCATCCTTGTTAGGGCTCATTTATTGGTGTCTCTTGCCTTTATGGTAGAGGCTTTCCCCAAATACCAGTGTTCCTTGGGTGTCCATAGTTAACAATGAGGCATGGCAAAGCTGATCTGAAGCTTTACGTGAGTGGGGAGGGCTGATGGGGCTCAATTTAGGGTGATAGATGGGGAGCTGACTTTTTCATTGGTAAATCCTCGTGTATCAGTAATGCATGGGGTTTTCTTTTAAAGATAGTCAGTCAATAACCTAGGAGACAAATTCTCTAATCTTCTGTCTGAAATTATAAGCCTTGCTGCTAGACTCAGGAAGCAGATTTTCTCTAAATTTCCCTCTCCTTGGTATAGTATGACTTCTCACTTTTACCCTCCACTGTCCTAAGACTCAGTCCTTTTTTTTTTTTTTTTAAGTTTATTTATTTTGAGAGGCAGAAACAGGGAGGGAATCCCAAGCAGGCTCTACCCTATCAGTGCGAAGCCTGACATGGGGCTTGAACCCACCAACCATGAGATTATGACCTGAGCCGAAACCAAGAGTTGGTCACTCAACCCAGACACTCCAAGGCTCAGTCGTTTTGATTCACTGTCCAAAGAGTAAACCTCCAGTCTTAGGCGGCAGAGGGGCTGGTGGTGGTGGTAGTTGACCTGCTGTGTGAGGTTGGAAGAGGGAATCTGAGTGTTGAATATCAACCTTCCCGGCTTTTCTTCTCTCTCTGCAGTTTCTGCCTGCACGGATAATTTGCTTCTGGTTCCTGAGATTTTTCTTGGGGTCTGCTATAGAAATTAGCTTGCTTTGTATTTGCTTTCTCTCTACGGTTTAGAATTTATCTTTCTTTGGTCTGTTAAGTCAGTTACCAGTCTCCCATTGGCTCCCTCACTTTGCAAAATGTTGAATGCTCTTATTTGCTACACACTCTTATTTTTTTTTTTTTTGTCCTTGTGGTTGTATGCATTTTTACATACGTTCAGAGACTATTTTTTAAGAGCAGCTTTAGATTTGCAGAAAAGCTGAACAGAAAGTACAGAGTTCCCATACACCCCCTGTGAAGGAAAAAAATGGCTTTCCTCTTTTTGAACGAGGGAAAGCCCCAGTTCTTCTCCACTGTTACCTCGCTTTTACAGGGAACATGTCACTTCTGACACCGCCGGTCACCGAATGCACGGAGGATTTCCCCACAACAAGTAGTTCCTGGGTGTCCTACAATGTAATTCAGTTCTGACCTATCTACCTGGAGGTCGTTTGGACCTCACAGGTTAAGAGCTCAGTCCCCTAAGATGGTTCCCATCCCACTTCAGGTGCCCATCACCAGTAGGTCCCCAGGTTACCTACAACTGCCGTCTGATTTGGCTACAGATCAGAGGTTCCCATGATCCCCTTCGCAAGTCTGATTAATTTGCAAGAGCATCACACAGAATCTCACGGAAACACTTACATTCACTAGTTTATTAAAGGGGGTGATAAAGGATGCAGACGCCATACAGGTGAAGAGATACACGGGGCGGTGGCTCCAGGCAACAGGCCCTCGTGCTGTATGGGCAGGCGTCACCCTCCTGGGGTGGAGATGTTCCAAACTCCATACTACGGGGGTTTTATGGAGGCTTCCTCACATAAGCACGATCAATGATTAACTGTTTCCAGCCCCTCTTCCCTCTCTGCAGGATGGGGTTGGGGGAGGGGCTGGGAAGTCCAGGCTTCTAGCTTCTAGGCACAGCTAGTCATTCAGGTGACCGGCCCCATCCGGAACCAGGAACCTGCCCAGCGTCGCCGCCTCGTTAGAACAAAAGGGGCTCCTGGTGTTCTTATCACTTAGGAATTTATAAGGGTTTTAGGAGCTCCGCTTGAGGGACAGGGTCAAAGACCAAATAGGAGAACCATAGATGCTCCTGGGTTTCTTATCACTTATCGCTCTAGGAAATCACTGGCCTTTTAGGAGCTCAGGGCCAGGAACCGGGGGGAGGGGGGGAGAGAGGCCAATTTACATGTTTTCTGTTATCTCCACCCTCTCATTCTCCACCCACAATTTCACCTATTGTTAACATCTCACGTTAGTTTGGTACATTTGATGAGCCGATCCTGATAGAACATGATTAATAAAGTCCACAGTTTACATGAGGGACTCCATGCTTGTTTTCTGGCCTGTACACATTTTCACTCCTACCTCCTATTCTCCATTCCCCTTCGCCATTCCCCTCCCCCCCACCCCCCCAGACTGCTTCATGAGCATTCCACGAAGCATCCACATAATTCACCATTATATCCTCTGGCAAATAGTAAGGGATCAACTCACATTTGTTGAGTGAATTTATAAAGGCTCCTCTGCTCCCTGGAGGGCCCCTCCCCTCCACCTCTTCGAATTTCTATAGCGCTTATGGGACTCATCATTTGGCACTTAACACATTTTGTTTATTTTTAGTCTTTTCTAAAGTTGTTCAATTCCGTTAGAGTCAATGAATTCATACGTGCTATGTGGCTGGCACTGGACTGCTTGCAGGGCAATCAAAGTTCACCGTAATCTTCTTCCTGGAGAGGGGGGCACCTTGTGAGCTGGGGAGCCAGGGAGCAAGCCCTGAATATCTGTGAACTGCCAATGGCACACAGACTCAGAGCCCGGTCAAGTGGCGGAGGGACACCAATCTTGGCTTGCAAATCTCAAATTCTAGGCTCTACCTTTGACTCTTCTGAGCCCTGTGACTTTGAGCAAGTCACTGCGCTCATCTGAACTTATCTCCTCATTATGATAAAGATACAGTCATTTCAGTTTCTAACCTGTCAGAGGTCATCAGCCGTCAGATGCACCACTGGTTTCTGAGCAGACTTTGGGCTTGTGTTGGGTGGGGGGTGTGAAAAGCATGATGTTAACTGTCTACACCGTTATAAAATGCATTCTGATGTCATGAACATTAAAATGAGCAAAAGCACTTCTTTGAATCAAGGCGATATGAGGTCTATGGAAAGGGATCAGCTGTTCTGAGTGCAGGGAACCATTGTGTACCTGTTAGTTCTGAGTAGAGCACGCTAAAGATGTATTTTCTGAATTAATGGGTGAGTTGACTTTTTCCTTTGTGCTTGCTCAGTCTTATTTGTGAAGGATTTTCTGGGATTATGATTGAAAATTTGAAACATACATAAAAGTGAGAGCAATGAGCTCCCATGTACCCATTACCCAGATGCAACAAAAATCAGTACAAGAGCACCATTTCATCTCTATCCCTACTCAGTTCTCCACCCCGCCCTGCCAACACACCACATGGATGATTTTTTTCAAGCATATCTCAGATAATATCATTTGCAAATACTTTTTTAAAAGTTTATTTATTTTGAGAGAGAGAGAGAGAGAGCGAGCGAGCATGGGCAGGGAAGGGTCAGTGAGAGGGAGAGAGAGAATCCCAAGCAGGCTCTGTGCTGAAGTACAGAGCCCCGACTTGGGGCTCGATCTCATGAACCCAGAGATCATGACCTTGGCCCAAACCAAGTGGCAGATGCTCAACCGAGTCACCCAGGTGCCTCCCAACAAGCGCCCTCCTTAATGCTCATCACCCATTGAGCCCCCTCCCCATCACCCCTCCAGCAACCCTCTCTGAATCAAGACTGTATAGGCAGGGATGAACTTAGAATAACAGAAGTCAAAGGGCAGTTTCGCTGAGTTTGCGGCCCCAGCGGGGTGGGTAGATTTCTGTCAAGCACGCACTCCAGAATTGGACATGCATTCTCTAAGCTGGCGGCGGACATTTGCTGCTTATACAGCGTTATCAACCACGCTCCTTGGAGTTCTTTGCTTGCTATTCCGAAACAGATGTGAGTTTTACACCCAAGCAGTAAATGATCCCCCAAATCAGCCAGTCACTTCTGAGTATTGAGATAACAGATTTATTTGAATCCATGCCTTCAAAGATGTGGGAGCCAATCATAACCCTTCTGCAGTGAAAAAAAAAAACTTGATTCTTTTCTTGAAATTCCAGCTTCCTTTACAAGATTTTGAGGAGCTCTGAATTACAGGACCGCCATGCAGCCTTTCTTTGATTCCTTCTACCACTCCGGGACAAGGGGAGGGGAGTTGTTTGTCCTTATTTTCACAAGTTAGCACATGGTTTGGAACCTTCAGGGCTTTTTCTGAAACTCCATTGGTGTGTGCCTGAAAAACCCTTTGGAGCATGCACGGTTGAATGGGAGATAGTTTTGAGATGTCAATTTCCATTTATTACATAAAAAAGATATTTGCTGCATAAAGGCATTGTCTAAATTAAAGCAAGTTCCAACTTTGGAGACAAACATCGAGGCGCCTGAGGCCACAAGCTTTAAAACGAATTGGCTGACAGATGCTTACTGAACTCCTATTGGCACAAGTGTGTTAAGGAGGTTTAAACGTCGGAGATGAAGTCCTGCCCTCAAACTGCCCACAGTCTAGTTGGGCAGACAAACCGAATTTCAGGGAACAATCCAAGAGTGAAAGGGCGAAACTGGACAGATACACAAGCCACGAACGCAGGCACTGTATGGCCGGGCTTGGGTTTCAGGCAGTATGTTCTAGTGGTTTTGAAAAGAGGGATCACAGAGCTCTGAAAAACCCTTCACAAAGAAGGTGCACATTGGGCTGGAACCGAAAACAGAGGTACAGATCACATAACGTTAAGGGAAAGGGAAGCAGATGGTCTCGGAGAGCGTCGGCTTGTGGGGCGTAGAGGTTAGAAGGGTGGCGAGGCCCGTACGGGGACACGCCAAGGTCAACGGCAGGCTTTACAGGGGATTCCCTTTCCTCTCCTCCCTCCCCTCTTCCTGTCCTTTAAAAACAGCGCCTGATTCCACAGAGGCATTCCCAAGGTGCCCTGAAAGAAAGCACAACGGAGGGGATCAAGAACATTCCGGGCCCCGAAGTGATCTCTCGAGGGGTGGGGCCCCGAGGGGTCGGAGGGGTCAGGGAGGGTCGGACCTATGAGCAGCCTCACTCCGAGTCCGCCGGGGGTGGAAGGAGGTTCCGCAGCAGGTGAAAGGCTTTTCCCAAAGCGCCCCCTGGAAGCCGGGGTGCTGAGATTGCCGACGGCGGGGCGCGCGCGCTCGCTCACACACACACACACACACACAGCCGGGGTGCTGAGATTGCCGACGGCGGGGCACACACACACACACACACACACACACACAGCCGGGGTGCTGAGATTGCCGACGGCGGGGCGCGCGCGCTCGCTCACACACACACACACACACACACACACACACACCCGGGGTTTGCCGACGGCGGGGCGCGCGCGCACACACACACACACAGCCGGGGTGCTGAGATTGCCGACAGCGGGGCGCGCGCGCTCGCTCACACACACACTCACACACACACACACACACACACACAGCCGGGGTGCTGAGATTGCCGACGGCGGGGCGCGCGCGCGCGCGCACACACACACACACACACACACACACGCGCGCGCGCGCGCGTCTTCTCCCATACGGTTAGCGCTTCCAGGTTTCGTGCAGCTCCTGCTCACCAGAAACAGAAAACGAATCACGCCGAAGAACTGGCTGGGCAGGGGGAGCGCGGACAGGGGGCCCAGGGCGCACGGCCGTCGGCGCAGACGGCTCCGCGGCGTCCGCAGCCCCGCGTTCCCCCGAGCCCGCCGGGAGCCGGGCGCCGCGGCCTGGGGGCCGGGGGCCGCGCGGCCGGCAGACGGCTCTCCAGACGCAGGGCCGGGGCGGTGCGGGAGGAAGGGGCGCCCGCAGCCCCGCAGCCCTGCGCGGCGGCCTCTCCCCCGGAGCGCCCCGCGCGGGAGGGGGGGTGGCGCGGGGTGAGGCGCAGGAGGAGGAGGGGGAGGAGCTGAGGGGGAGGAGCCGGGAGAGGCGCAGGAGGAGGAGGGGGAGGAGCTGAGGGGGAGGAGCCGGGAGAGGCGCAGGAGGAGGGGGAGGAGCTGAGGAGGAGGGGGTGGGGCCGGGCGAGGCGCAGGAGGAGGAGGGGGCGGGGCCGCGGGAGGAGGGGGCGGAGCCGCGGGAGGAGGAGGGGCGGGGCCGCGGGAGGAGCGGAGCGGGCAGGGCCGGAGCCGCCCCCGCCCAGCCCGGCGGGAGCCGAGGAAGCCCCGGCCCCGCCACCGCGCCGCCGCGCCCGCCCTGCGCACGCCTTCCGCCTGCACCTAGGGCCGTAGGTGCGGCGCGGGGCCGGGGAGCGGGCCGAGGCCGGAGCCGCCGCCGCCGCCGCCGCCGCGCCGAGCCCCGCGGGTCTGCGTTCCGCCGCCCGCCGCCGCGGGGGGCGTCATGTAGCGGCGTGGACCCCCCTCGGATTTGCAACTCCCTCTTTTCGGAGGGGCGGGGGGCGCGGCAAAGCCGTCTCTCCGCCCTCGCTTTCTCGCCTCCCCCCCAGCCCCCGGCGCAGGCTGCGTCCGCCTCTAAAATTTGCGGGGTTCGGGGAGGGCGGGGGGCGGCGGATCGGCGTGGGGCCAGCACTGCCCCCGCGCGCGGACGGCCACCATGACCGACGAGAGCGCCGAGGTGCCCCGGGAGCTGACAGGTACGAGGCCGCCCGCCTCGGCGCGCCCCACCTCCGCCTCCGCGCCCTCCGCCGCCCGCGCGCCCGCGGGTCCCGCGAAGTCGCAGCGACCCTCAGGTCGCCGCCGTGCTGGGCGGGGCGCCGGCAACTTTGCTCGCGTCTGGCCGCCCGGGGAGCCGGGTCCGGGGAGCGCGGCCGTGGGAGCGGGGCGGGCGGCCGGGGCCCGGGGCGCGTGCCCAGCCGCGGCCGGCGGGGGCGGGGGGCGGCCTGCCTGGACTGGGGAGTTCTGCGAGCGGGGAGCGCCCCCGACGGCGACCAGCCCGCTGCCCCAAACTCAGGAAAGTCCGGGAAAGGCCGGCAAGGGTGCGGCGGGCGAGCGCCCAGTGGGTCGCCTCGGGCACCTGCCAGGCCCCTCCCACGCCGCGCGGAGCCCTCCCGCCACCCCCCCCCCCCGCACGCGCACACCCGGGCAGGGGGCGCAGGTCTGGGGTGCTCGCGGAGCCCGGCGAGGCGTGGCTTCGCCCAGCCCAGCGGCAGCGAAGGGGTTACAGGACTGACGCAAACTCGGGCCGGGAAACTGGGGGTTAATGATTTCAGCTTATTTTAATAATAGTTAACCTACCGAGTCTCCCCATCCCGGGTACCTGCGGACCTGAGTGTAGTACCCTGTGCAAGGTGACGCATTGTTTGAGGCCCTTGAGGGGTTGTTTTTGTTTTTTTTTTTTGGTTGCGGGGGGGGGGCGGGGGCGTTGGGCTGGGTTCTGCCTCTTGGGGTTTGACTTAATTATGTGGGGGGCTAAAATGGCAGAGCTAAAATGAGGTGGGACAGAGTGTTTTTGAAAGCCCAGCGTTTAAGCGTGTGTGTGTGTGTGTGTGTGCGTGCGTGCGTGTAGCATGTTGTATATTAACCAGGTATATATATGTGTGCGCGCGTGTTTTGAGCCCCCTGACCTGTACTCTTTACTGAACCATCCTTGGCGCACTGCAGGGAAGGATGCTGGTTAATGGGTGCTGACCGCAGGAGGAAGTGGTGCCTGCCTGTTCTGCATTCGAGAAATTCGCCCCTCTGTGTGTCCGTGCAGCCGTAATACTTTGGAGGAGTTTGTGTGTGCTTTTCCATTAGTGACTTAACTCAGCAGGTGAAACTTGATGTGAAGAAGCTGTTACTAGGTTTGTGTGGAAGCTTCTGCTTTTGTTGAATTAGGGGGAAAAAACCCCAAACCCCAAACCCAATTTTTTTACCCCAAATTAGGACCTGAAGTTACCGTCCCCTTCCCCCACTCGGCCTCTCCTCTGTCCCCAGCCTTGTGGAGTCAGCTCCTGAGATAAAACATCAGCTGCCTTCGCTGGAGTGAGTGGCCCATCCGGTTCTGGGAGGCGGAGATCTTCCCAGCACCCCTCCCGGAAGGGGAAACCTATGCCCACAGTCTCTCAAGAGGCCTCCAGAGGTGCTGAGAAAGTTTAGGGTAGCCGAAGAGGTTGGGGATTTGTAAGTTAGCTGTCCTTGAGCCTGGTAATGAAAAGGTTACATAGTTGCTTAGATGAGAGACAAAGAGAAGAGAGAGGGGGGCGAGGGAAGGGATCGAAATACGATAACCTGGTTTATGTTGATATTCTCAAAATAAATCCTTTGGTATGTTTTAAAGTTGATTTAATCCTTATCTAGAAATGGAATGTGTGTGTATTGAGTCTTGCCCAGATCACATGTCTTTCAACCAAGTGACACATACTTTTGTGACATGCCCCGTATGATTTTTCTGGGCCTTTATATGGTCTAATTAGTCTGGGATGGGGGGAAATTTCCTCCAGAAAAGCACCTGCTTTCCTCATTTCAAGTGCTCAGAGTTCCATTCCGATCGATTCAAAATGGCAACCGTGTGAAAACCTCAGTTTATTTCCTTACGATAATCCCCGAAGGTGTTTAGAAAATGGGTTGTGTATCTCTCTGGTTATGAAGGAAATACAGGCTCTTTATAAAAATATTTAAATGCTGATGAGGACGAGAAGACTGAAGTCCATTTCTGCCGCTCCTTTCCCGCAGGCCTCTTTTAGGGGAGGGAGGAGGAGTCTGATCAGAGGAGAGCTGGCTAGAGAACTCCTAGGGAGTGAGGGCCCCCACATGTCCCCTTTTGTCCCCAAAGTCCCAGCTCCTCCTCATCAGCCCCTGACCAATCTGTGCTTCCTCTTCTTTCCTGCCCTTCTCCTTGTGGCAAAGCTCCTCTCTCCCCTCTTTTGCTCTTTTTTTTTTTTTTTTTTAGTAATTAGAAAAAGTTTGCAAGTGGGGGAGGGGCAGAGACAGGGGGACAGAGGACCTGAAGCTGACAGCACAGAGCCCGGTGTGGGGCTTGAACCCATGAACCTCAAGCATGACCTGAGCCAAAGTCAGATGCTCAACTGACTGAGCCACCCAGGCACCTGGTCCCCTTCTTCGCTTTTATCTAACTTGGCGGCTCGAAACTTTTGTGCTGGGTTTCCAGTAAGAATATTTGATTACCTCTTAATAAGCGTTTATTTATTAAACTGCATACATCATTTATCATGTATAATTTAAAGTTTATGTATTTTGAAAGAGACAGAGGCAGTGTGAGTGGGGGAGGAGCAGCGAGGAAAGGAGAGAGAATCCCAAGCAGGTCCATGCTGCCAGCACAGAGCCCGACTCGGGGCTTGAACTCATGAAATTGCAAGATCATGACCTGAGTCAAAACCAAGCGTTGGATGGACGCTTAACGAAGTGAGCCATCCAGGCATCCCTAGCATGTATAAATTAAAACATAAACTGAAACATTGTAAATATGAATAAAACTTCTGTTTTCTTCCTGCACTTCAGTGACTTATATTATTCACTGTGCTTTGTTTTTTTGTAATTTTTTTTTAATGGTATTATTCATTTTTCGAGAGAGAGCCAGAGAGGGAGCATGAGAGGGGGAGGGGCACAGAGAGAGGGAGACACGGAATCCTGAAGCAGGCTCGGGGCTCTGAACTGTCAGCACAGAGCCCGATGTGGGACTTAAACTCATGGACTGTGAGATTAGGACCTGAGCTGAAGTTGAATACCCAACCAACTGAACCATCCAGATGCCCATGTTTTTTATTTATTTAAGTTTATTTGTTTGTTTTGAGAGAGAGAGAGCACAAGCAGCAGAGGGACAGAGAGGAGAGACAGAATCCCAAGGGGGCTCTGCACCATCATCACAGAGCCTGATACGGGCCATGAGATTCTGACCTGAGCTGAGATCGAGAGTCAGACACTTAACCGACTGTGCGACCCAGGCGCCCTGTACACCCTGCTTTGGGCCAGTGGTCTGTTTCCTATTCTTTCAAGATTCGGCGCAGGAGTGCTCTCCTCCCTGAAACCTTCATGAATTTCCTTGTCTGTGATCTCATGGTAGTGAGTGCAGGTTTTTCTAGAGGCATCTGTCTGTGGCCTGTAGACTGTAAGCACCTGTGAAAGGCAGGGCCATCTCTCCCCCTGTATCCACAGAACATTTGGGCCGCGGGAGCTATTCCTGTGGATGTATATTTTGGATTGAATATATGAATAAACCAAAGTGATTATCATTTAGAATACAGAGCTCTGGGAGTATAGAGGAGGTTACTATATTTTGAGGTAGAATGTAACCAAGAGAGTAGGGAGAGGGCAACCCGGGAAGGGGAAGAATACCTACAAAACCCTGCGGGTGTACAAGATGGAGCTGATAGGGATGGATGATTGGATTGCGAAGAGTGTGTGCTTTGAAGGAAGTTGAAAAACTGTGAAGGACCTTGAGTGGCATGCTGCAGGGTTTGGGTTTATCCAGGAATGACAGCAACTCAGAGCAAGAGTGATGTGCTCAGCCCTGTGGTTTTGGAAGGGTCCCTTTGGTTAGGGAGGGGACCAGAGAGCTGATAGGTCAGACATCACGGACTTGTCTTGGGGAGGGATTCGAGTCCTTGAGTGCCGGGTCAAGCGCGGGGATCGGGAGCTCTTTAGGGAGTAGGAAGGTGGGTGACTGGCTTCCTCTCTGAGAGCAACAAGATTTCTAGCTTCGTTAGTGACCAGAGGAGGGGTGGGGGAAGAGAATGAGTTTGATTTGGGACCTGTTGCATTTGGAGTGCTCACTCCAGGAAGACCTTCCTGCCACCATCCACATTTTGAAGTCTCCCCTTCTCTCTTGATTCCTCTTTTCTGATGGTCTTTGGCCTCTCTTTGGGGTGTTGTGCTGATGTGGCTGCAGAAGGACAGATGGCCATACTCACGAGTTCCGCTTCTTTGCCATTTTCCCAACTGTCCTGTCA